GCAGTAAAAATGAGCATTTAAAAAAGAACTGTAAATCTCCAAGGAAAGTTGATGACGGAGAACAGGAGAATAGTTTCTCTACTAATGTCCCCATAGGTGAAATCCAAAATGATTCCCTGGTGTAATCCCTAGTTAGTGCTGAATCCAAGATAGTGGATTCAAGTTTCTCTTTTCATGCTTGCCCCAATAAAGAGGTATTCAAAAACCACACTCATAGTGATCTAGAAAAAGTTTATTTGGGAGAAAGCAAGATCTGCAATATAATAGAAAATAGTGATGTTGATATCAAATTGCCGAATGAAACAATTTGAAAGCTTACTGGCGTCAGACGTGTTCCAAGATCGAAGAGAAATCTTATCTATGTGAGCCAGCTGACAAAGTCAGGAATCGTGACAACTTTTACAAGTGATTCACGGAAGGTGATCAAGAGGGCATTAGTGATGTTTCGAAGCAACAAACATTGAAAGTACTCTTTATCTGATCAATGAAATGGTTAATTTCATTGATGTGGCTGGAACCAGGGTGGATGCAGGTCTGTGGCACCGTAGGCTTGGCCATATGAGCGATAAATGTATGAAGTCCATACTTTAGAAGAACAAATTTCATGATTTGAAATTAGTTGATCTGAATTTCTGTGAAGACTGTATTTATGACAAGCATAAAAAAGTTACTTTCTCCAAGAGCGGGTCAGTGGTGAAATCAAAGAAACTGGAGTTAGTGCATACCGATCTATGGGGTCCTACTCCAGTTCAATCCATTGGTGATTCTTGCTATTTTATCATATTCATTGTTAATCACATAAAAAAGGTATGAGTTTACTTCTGAAGGCAGAAATTTGATGTATTTGAAGTCCTTAAGAAATGGAAGATTATGGTAGAAAATGAGACATACTTGAAGCTGAAATGTTTCAGATCAGATAATGAGGGTGAGTACTGTGATCAAACTTCAAAAATTTCTTTGCTATAGAGGGTGTCAAGCATGAGTTCACTGTTCCAAGGACCCTACAACATAATCATGTAGCTGAGCACATGAACAGAACAATCATGGAACGTGCTAGGAGCATGAGGTTGCATGCAAGCTTGCCAAAATAGTTTTAAGCTGAAGCAGCTAACACTGCACTTTATCTGATTAATTGTAGTTTTGTCAGTACCTTTGGAGAAATGCTTACCTGAAAAAGTCTGGATCGATAAAAAAAGTATGTCTATCTTTATTTAAGAGTATTTGAGTGTTCTACATATGTGCATGTTGATGCAAGTTATAAAAGCAAGCTTGACTTGAAATCTGTCAAGTGTGCTTTCATTGGATATGACTCATATGAGTTTGGGTAAAAGTTATGGGATTATCAAAATAAAATATTCGTCTAAAAAAGGATGCCACTTTCAACAAGATGGAGATGTACAAGGATAGAGTCAGAACTCAGTACAGTCCATCAGCTATTTCTGAAGAATCCAGATTTGTGGAGATAGATGATACTGGTGATCCAAAAGATGAAGAAAGAATAAGTGCTCAACCAGAAGGAGCACTGGATGTTCCTCAGACACCAGATACAGAAGTCAAGAGATCAAAGTGAAACAACCCATACAAAGGTATTTACATTAATTGTTGCTTACTGATAGTGGTGAACCAAAGTTTTTTGAGGAGGTCACTCAAGTTGAAGATTCAAGGGAGTGGAAGCTCGCCATGGATGAAGAAATGTAATCTTTGAAGTCAAATCAGACTTTTGTAGCAAACGCTACAAAGCAACTTTTTGTGAAGGGTTTCCAGCAAAAAAAAATGAGTGGATTATAAAGAGATCTTCTCCCTAGTGGTGAAGATGATGACTGTGTGAGTTGTGCTGAGTCTGGTAATAGAAGAAGATTTACATCTGGAGCAGATGGATGTAAAAGCAGCTTTCTTACAACGAGATCTGGAGAAGTTATACATGGTGTAGCCACAAGGTTCCAGGCAAAAAATATTTGGTCTGCAAATCGAAGAAGAGTCTCTATGACTTAAAGCAGACCTCGAGACAGTGGTACGACAAGTTTATATCAAACAATTGACACTTAAAGTGTCAGAGGCAGACCATTATTGCTTCATCAAACACTTTGGTAATTGTTATATTTTGCTTCTCTTGTATGTAAATGACATGTTGATTGCAGGGGCAGATATGGAGAAAATTAAGTACTTGAAGAATCAGTTATTAAGTGAGTTTGAGATGAAAGATTTAGATCCAACTAGAAAGATCTTCAGGATGAGAATCAGCAGGGACAAGAGTACAGGAATACTAAAGTTGTCTCAGACAGAGTATGTTGAAAAGATCCTACAAATGTTTAACATGAGTGAGGTGAAACCAATTAGCACTTCCTTAGATAGTCACTTTAAACTATCTAAGGAGCTATTGCCTAACCATAAAGCAACTATAAAGCAGAGCAAGCACAGATGGAGAGAACTATGTATGCTTCAACAGTTTGAAGTTTGATGTACGCGATTTGTATTGGATCAGATATTGTATATGCAGTGGGAGTAATTAGTAAGTACAGAGGCAATTCAGGCCAACATCAATTGGGAGACGTTAAATTGGATTCTCAAGCATTTTCCAAGTTGCAGAAGATGTTGCACTTTCTACTACGAATGTCGAATATATTGTTATTACTGATGTTAGCAAGGAGATGATTTGACTAAAGAGTTTCATGACAAAATTGGAAAAGGGACAGGAGTGGAAGACTCTACAGTGACAGTATGAGTGCGATTCATCTTAATAAGAACGTTGTTTTCATGTCAGGATGAAACACATGCAGCAGATGTATCATTTCATTCGCTCTTTTCTTGAAGATGGCAATTGTTCCTAGAGAAGATACACAACTCAGATACTTGCAGATATGTTGATGAAGGTGGTAACAGTTGTTGGCTTCAGTTGGGTTTCATGAAGGTTGAGAATGAGATTGAGCCACACCACGGTACGTGATTATGAAAGCGATTCAGATGGAGTACAAGTACAGAGGACTGGTGATGGGTGCTATTGTCTCCAAGTGGGAGATTGTTTTGTAAAAGGAGCCAAAACACCTCAAGATTCCTGGCCCTAAGCCGATGGGTTTGGGCGTTGACATATTTTTAGCGCAAACAAAGAAGCTGACGCTTCAGTGCCAGCCTTGGGTGCTCAAACCCCCGTTTGCTGAGCACGATCCCAAGAGCTTGGCGCTTATGCGCCAAATCTGGGCGCCTAAGTGTCCATTGTAGTTACTCTGCTTTCTGGGCACTAGCTGAAGGGAGAAGCATGTATAAACAACCATTTGATGTTTCCATGACGTTCATTAGCCATGACATGACCATAGAGTTCTCTGCTTGCCAAGCTCCATAAGCGCTCCATAAGTCGGGTCAGTCTTTGGAGGTTCATAGATCATGCCTGTGAGGTGACCAAATTTTTCGCATCACTTGACAAACAAATACACCGCTTGAGACCATTGCAAAAAGTTGATTAGTTTATGAGTCGTAAATGTCATGCTGATTTATGATCCTTCGTTCTGTAGAGGAATTGAGGTCGATAATGATCCTCTGGTGATCTCATACACACTGTAATCACTGTCAGTAAGAGGTTCGATGGTGGAGGAATCTGCCATACTTCCAACAGAGCCAAAGGTAATGTGAAGTTACTGAGACATAGAAATGCGGGTACGAGGGAAATTCAGTAGCTAAAGAATATCAAGCTGCAGAGAAAGAACAACCGAGTAAAAGATTGTGCAGAGAGGCCTCATGACATAGAAATAGGAATCCGATTGAAATTCCTGTACATAAAGACGTGAATCTGATTAAAATTCTTGTAGGGAGGCGTCACGAGCTGGCAGGAATCAGCGGAATGGCTCGAGGAAACAGCGACAGGAATCAACGACAAAGGAAAGAACAGCTGCAGGAATCAGTGGCAAAGGAAAAAACAGCAGCAAAAGAAAACAACGGGAATCAGCAGCTGTAAGGGACCTACGGGAATCAGCGGCTGAGGAAGAAGATTGGAGGAATCAGCGGCTGAGGAAGAACAACATATTTTTGCGGCTGCAAGGTGGAATCTTCTAGGGTTTGAGCCATGGCTCTAATACCATGTTGAATTGGTGGTCAAGGTAGCATATTTCATTATACAAAGAGGGGTATTTAAACCCAATTACAATGGACTCAAATAAAGAAAGAAATAAAAATACAATCAAATAAATAAAAATAAAATAAAGATCAAAAGGAAACTACATAATGCAGAATAAAGGGAATTAATAAATAATAACAGATGTGGAAAGCCAATAAACCTAAATCTAATACTCTTTCTAATTTTCAATCATGTGTGAATTGGATGTTTATTTCCTTCAAGGGGGTACAAGTGTAATTTCTTAATTATGAGAAAAGTCATCTCCTTGACTCAACACAAGGCATGGTTTCCCTCTTTTTTTTTTTTAGTATTTTTTTTTTGTTCTTATTTCATCTAACATAACTTGATAATGGCTTGTTAGTGCTCTTGATTTCTTCAACTTTTGGTACAACTGAAATTCAATTCTTGAAAATTAAATTACAAGTACTCACTGATTTTATAACGTAGAGAATTCTTGGTTAACTTGTAATTATTTTGATAATTTGTTAAAATTTGGGTTCTGATTCTAGAACGATTGCTTACATACAAAGAAAACAATCTGAATTAATGGGTGGAGTGTGATCTGTATATTTTCATATTCCTCTGCATGAACTCATTTTGCTATGCATCATATTAGTTGAATGAAAATACTTTAACCCTGTACCAGCATCACAGTGACTGCTGGGACATTAGCAAAATATGACTCGAGGGCTAATTTTATAGACTATCGTTGACTTGAATTCAACCAAATAGGCAAAACATATTTTATCTAACAATCAAGTAAATGAAAAAAAAAAAAATAAGCAACCAGTTAAAAATTTGATGTCAAATTACCATGTTTTATTGAAGGAAAAGCTCATGAAACAATTTAGCCTTAGACGAGTTACTAAAATAAAAAATGAAAGAAATGAATTACCAGTTAAAAAATTTCATTCCCCTAATCGCAACCTCTTCATTTGGCTCTCTTACATTAGGTTCCCATAAAATATCTTCATTACTTTCGATCTGAGTTAAATCTCATCGTTATAAACAAGTACCACAAACATTGCGACATTTAATCTAGAGTGCATAGAGCATTTACCAATGAAAAATCAATTGCAGGGAAAAGTGTCTGATATTCCCTTATGGTTCTCCTTTTATCACATGGGTGAACTCCCTGCAGATCAAGGGCAGTAAAATTAATGCAAATAGAGGAAAAAAATTTAGGCATAGCAAGAAACCAAAAACATGGAATATTAATACCACATTGCAATTTTCACTTGGATGCAATAGAAATAATTGAGAAAAATGCCAAAATGGTCGCTTGACTTTTTTTGGGGTCGTTTTAGTCTCAAAAACTATACAAGTGTCAATTTAGGAAGGACTATTTCATCCCAAATAAAAAAGATTATCAACTAATTTGATAATTTTTTAGAATTTAGAATTAATATGGCCATATGTAGATCATCAGGAGACTCTTTTAGCACTTATAAATAATTTTTATACAAAAAGAATACAGTGGAACGATTCTAATGATGAGTTTTAATTTCAAGGAGTACACAACTCGTGGGGGATAGGAGAGAGAAAGAAAGGGTATGCAACTAGGGGTGTAAATCAAGTTTGAGCGAGCTCAATATTTGTCTGTGTTCAGCTTGGTCGAAATTTTTTTTGGCTCGTAAAAAGCTAATGTTGAAATGTCTTATGAATGGCGTATTCATGTTCCACTCAATTTGAGTTTGTTTGTTTTTTTGAGCTCATATTTAGCTCGAAATAATAATTTATTGAAATTTAATTTAATAAACAAAAATAATATAATTAAATTTCAAAATTTAATTTTTTTAAGACCCTTATAAGGGAGGAAAAATATCCAAAAATGCTTTTACAGCAACGTGAAGCCGAACATTTTCAAGCCATTGAGATCTATTTTTATAAATTTAAAGAGCACTGATAATGCATTTCTTCCCGATGCGGGGTTGTCAGAATTTTAGAAATTTATGTTTTTGGTATCTTCTATTTTTATTATTTTTTATTTTTAGTAGTTTCTATTTTTAGAATTAACAATTGTTGGTAATTTTCATTTCTTTTTTCTAGCATGAGGATTTTGAGGCTTTCTTAGTGTGGTTGCTTTCTCGTGTTATTTATCTTGTAATAAAGTTTTAAGAAATTGAAGAGGAATAATTATTTTTCCTTTTCCCAAACTTACACGTTATCGAAGCCATATTTATGTTGTCTACAATAGAGGAGTTGACAACAATTTTCTTGCGACCGGAGCTTCGGCTTTCTCCCGCTCATGATCATAATGATGCTTGTGAAGCGATAGGCCGCCTAAGATGACGCTCATGACCCGTCGCTTACGACGCAGAACTCTCGAAGACACCTCGAAGGCACGATCGAAACAGGAACTCTCTGAGGCTACTTTAGTCTTTCCCATTGCAGTCGAACGATTGATCTACGCTATCTTTGACATATCTAGTGACTGCTTTGAATCTGAATCTCCTATCTTTGTCTCTACATACGAGTCACAGACTTTGCACGATTCTAATGCTCCATTCAAACAGAGCACAAAACAACGATCAAGTTCAGTAGAACGCCTAAACACCATTTAATTTTTTAGGATCATTTCTTTTGCAAATTGTTTTTCCCTTCGGTTCAGGATTCTTCTTAGCCAACTTATCTACTACAGCTTTAAGAGCCAAAATAACTCACAACCAAAATCGACTCGAGTTTATGTCTCGTCCTCTTCTCTCCACACTCAGTAATAATTTATAGTGATGATAGTCGTGCTGAATTCAAAACTCAATCGAAGCGATCTTTGTTTAAAAACTAAGCCCTTAAATATAAGAGTTTTAAGCAAAATCTTTGATGATGGTTGTACTAAAAGATAATCTTAACTTAAAAGCTTTTATTTTCAAATTTCAATGAAAATCATTTAAATTTTAAATTCAAATATTTGGTTGAAATTTTATCAATTAAAGACTAAGAGCAAAATCTCATCCACCCTCCACAATAATTTGTGCGTGGCAAATTTGACGTTAACAGAAGCTCATAATGAGCAAATATAATATCAAATATACGACTACATTCACAATCAAAACAATCCCATGATAATAAAGACGAGGCCTAAGTCTCTATCGACGTGATTTGGTCATAGCCTCCATAAATGAAGTGGTTATAACCAGAGTCCTTCAACTAGTTGGTTTGACCAATAAGCTTCACTATATTACGGTCACGATCGTAGTTATATTCCCTAATAATTTTCTGCTCTTTTGAGTAGTGAATTAAAGGGTATACCCGATAGAACACAAAGTACTCTAGAAGTTATTGACTTAAAATTATCCCCTTAGACAGTATCCACCCCGGATCAACATAATCTTGTTGGACGAAACAACATATAGTTGTTGACAGGGATTCTTATGTTAGGTTAGGTAGACTACCTCCTATAACTAAATAAAATAAAGTCAATAACAACCAAGGACAACAAAAATATGTGATATTGATCACGTTCATCATCATTCCATCCCAAAATGCACTCTAAGCTCAAAGTGATAAATTTCTATAATTTAAACTTAAATTACTATTATTATATGTTGAGCAATCAACTCTCTAATGATTATCCTTTATAAAAAATGCTCTCATTATCGGGAGGGGTATTTAACTACAAGAGCTTGCAACAATGGGAAACCTCGAACACCAAATCTTAAAATCCTCGCAAAATGAAAGTGAAATCTATGGGTAGTGTCTTATCTACTTTTCATCAGCCTTCTAAATATTTGACCCAGAATTTTATGACACAGAACTTCACATAAAATTCTCTCATTCATATTCAAGGGAGGTCAGACTGAATTTTTTAGGCTCTCAACCACAATGCTTAAAGATACCTTAACCACGGTGCTATTGGGATGGCTTGTGGTTCTCTCAGTCACATGTGACATTGTGACAATGAATTGAAGCTTTCAGTTTCAAGGCCAAGTGCCAGCACTGAAGAGAAAAGCAGGAATCCACAAGAGGTCAGCCCAAATCCACATGCTACTTAATACCATAAAATTTCAAAGCCTCGGAATCTCTAGAAGTGTTGATTCAGATACATAGAAGAGGTACAGGATTCACACTACCCTATGAGGGAAAAAACAGACAGCGCCTAAGCTAACGGGAACAATGAGTTGGGTTAAGGTCACCAACAAATTAGAAGCGTCAAATGAAATGTAAAAAATCATATTTAACATAGATAATATTCAGGCATAATAGGGCTGTATGAATCCAGCACAAACAGTGGCATATTCCTCAATTTATTGAGATGCAAATAATAGTATACCCAACATATTCTTCATCAATAAGAAGGTCTCTCTCTCTTTCTCCCTCAAAGAAAAATATAATTTTAAAACAGGCGAGTCTCATGTTCCTTATATAATGAGCCCTCTAGTGGTATACTGAGCTCCCTGGTGGTCAGAAAATGATTTCTAAGTTCCAAGAAAATTCAGCGAGGGAGATTGGATGAAGCTGCGCTCACTAGAAGAGACATGGTCCACGAACTAGCATAAGCTTCGAGAAATATGGAGTGATCTTTAGACTGATGCCTCAAATTCTATAAAGTTGAATGTGGGGGGCTAAGGGTGGTCTTTTACAATTTGATCCGATCACCAAAATGCTCATCCCGCCATCATAGATTATTGAAGGAAAATGTGACTCGCATGCTCTAAGCACACACCCTCCCACATATTACCTAGTTAAAGTTTTTCAGAGTTCAACAGATTAAGAAACAGTTGAACTGCTAAAAAGCCAGCTAATTCAATTCCTTTTTTTCAAAAACAATGAATAATGAAGGCAAATCAAATAAAATTAAAGTGAAGAGTAGAGCAATAAAGCCAATGAAAATATGAAGATTAAACAATTTATTCCCTTTTTATCCTGATCAAGGACATCAAAATGGAGAGACGAAGCCGACCACTATGAGATGCACAAGCAAATGCATAATGATCTAGTTCTGGAAAGTTAGCCATGGATAAAAATAAAAGAAATTTATGGGATTACAAATCACTTCTATAAAAACGTACGAATTCAAGGAGTGGAGATTAGAAAGGGTGAAGTAAAAACTATAGAGGCATTTACATACCTCACAATTCCTATGCATTTACATTTCTAACACCTAAACTTTGATTTTTACATTTGTACCACCCCAATACTTTATATCACATCATAAGTACCCCTATTTAACTTTTAAAAAGTGCAATAATCCTTTCAAGCATATAGGGGTGTAAACGAGCCGAACACGAGCTGAGCTTACGAGCGAACCAAGGCTCAGTTTGTATTCGGCTCTATAAAAAATACCACAGTTTGTGTCTTGTTTATATTTCAAACAAAAAAAAAAGTGTCGTGTTGGCTCCCTTTTTTTAATTGCTTAACGAGCCGAACACGAGCTATTCATGAACCAAGAACCGTTTTGACAACCTTAGCACGCAGCAGTAAGACTTAAAGGGTTAGGGCGAGATTTAAATCTTAATTGATTATAAAACTTTGTAGGCTTGTAGTCAATTAATTTTTTTTAAAATACTACTCATCGATTATTATATATATATAATTTAATTGTTTCTAGCTAAAATGAGCCAACCACGAACAAACAAATCTTTGTTCGGCTCGTTTACATATCGAATACAAAAAAAATTATTCGTGTTCGGCTCGTTAACTTAACAAACGAATCGAATACAAGCTTCTTAACGAGCCAAACACAAGTTGTTCGCGAACAACTAGCCATTGCCCTGACCATACTGCTGGATTCCTCGATGTAAAAATTGAAGTTTAGGTTTTAGATATGTAAATACATAAGGATTGAGTGGTATGCATGTAAATCATCTAATTAAAAAATATGAAGACATACCAAGTGTTCCCTGCATGCCTCAACTGCTACAAAAGGCGGACTATCCAAACTTGAAATAGCTGGGCGACCACTATTGCCGGCATTTTCAACCATTAAGGGCCTCCCTTTGACTCCATCCACCAACGCTTCACCTCCAAAGACTCCAACAGCAGTTTGCATGGTTCTGTGACAATTAGGAAATCAGAAGAAGCATAGTTTTCAATTAAGATGGATTATTGATGTTAACTAGTTCATAAAAACTAGTAGAACAAAGGTCTTGTTCATCTAGAAATTTGAATCAATAAATAAAAAAAAGTTACTTCCCTATGGCTCACACCAATACTGAAAGCAAGTATTTTAGAAACAAATGCCAGCTCACTCATGTGAACATATTTCTCATATCAGAAACACCGCCAAAACCATGAAATTTGACATAAGAATGATGCACAAAACATCTATAGAACTGGAACTAGTCGTGTAAGTGAGCCAAGACAACTAGGAAACACCACCCTTTAATATATATATATATATATATATTAAAAGCCCAATGACTGATTTTATTGAAATAGAGAAGATATATAATGGTTGTATGAGAGGGCCCAATAGAGACACTCTACCTATACGATACCAAGTACTACCCCAACAAAAGGTTACAGATAAACTCAAAAATTTAGAACATGCAAAAAACAAGTACTTAGGGACGAGCCAGTTTAGTCCTGTCTCTTTCTCTAGTTTTAGGAGCGGAGCCAGATAACAAATTTTGAAGTGTCGTGCATTGTCAGGAGTAACCAAACTATTATCCATTAAGTTTCCAAGTTTGAGTGTACCCCAGCCTTCTTCCTCAACCGAGAAGTGTAAACTTGTCATTCTTCATTTGAATACTGACTCATGTGATCCTCGGTCTGATTAGATATTAAAACCGCAGTAGAAGGAAAGACAGTCGTTGCCACAGTACAGCGATGTGTTCTAATGTATGTGAAGTGTGAATTGTCACCTCTGCACCTGATGCTTTCTGAATAGGAGCTACGGGGCTATCCTGACTTTCGGTCCGAACATTATCCCTTATAGTATGGTCAGGAGAAGGGTTCCCAAGAGCAGACACTATTTCCTGCCTTGTGGTAAATCTTTCCTCAGGATGGTTGTCATCAGATTTGTTGAGAGTGCGTTCAGACACATGAGGTGCACTAACAACATGTTCATGCTTTTGACTATTACTGCTTTTGACTAGTGGTTCTCAACTGTGGGTGCAATTTGAAACATTTCTCCTGTGGGTGTCCAAACATGTTGCAGTGCTTGCAGTAGTAAGGATTTTGTTCCATAATGATTTTTGCCAATAACCATTGTGAGCAGAACCAAACCAGACTTCTTCTACAATTAGTAGTGTAATATCTCTTTCAATCAAAATCCTTGCAATAGAAGTCATTGAGAAATGAACTGCAGGTGTGTCTATCTGCAAAGGTTTTCTAAAGATAGTCTCAATTGCATATAAGATAGGTAGGTCAAAGAATTGAAGCTTGAGTTCAGTTAATAAGAACCAGATAGACGCAATTGGGGTCTTGACTGGGATCAAAATCAGGGGTCCATTTGAGCAATTTCATATGATTCCCCTCGATTATGATGAATTTCTTTGAGAAAATCCTTACATAAACTTCTTCAATGTTCAGCCGTATCATAACATGTCTTTCGTTGAAATGACCCACCTGCAAAACTCCAACTAGTTTGAAATCTTCAAAATCTTTCTTAGTAGTCTCCATCTTAAGGCTACTTAATTGGAACTTTCCAACTAGTGTAAATTTGTATTTTCCTGCATGAGTTGAAATTTCAGCATCAGAGAAGAATATTATTGGTTTGCCCGTCTTTTTTTCTACTTTCTTGATGAGATTGCAATCTTCATGTCCTGCAACAGAATCATGGTACACTGCGGAAATCGGATTATCTGCAAGGTGGAAAGGAGAGCTGCATTTGTGAACCAATGTAGCATCGAAGGGTTTGGCAGGATTATTACTAGCGAGGGCAGCGGCGTAGGGAAGCCCTTAGAATGCTTCACACAAGCACAGCAGGAACAGCTGGCGCAGCTTGCCGACTACCATTGAGGAATGGGTCGCAGTTTCGAGCAGATGCGAACGCGTCGTCGTTGAACAGAAACCCGAACTGAAGCTGTCGGGTAGGGAAACTACGCAGACGTGAATGGTTGGACCAGCTGGACGTCGTCACTGACGGAGCAGAAAGCGAGCGGAAGCGGAATGTCTACAGCAGAGACGGTGTGTCCTTCAAGAGACGGAATCAATCGCCACGGAAATCGTCATTCGAAATCCTAGCAGAGCTCTCGTCCGCCATTCGAAACTATATATATATATATATATATATATATATATATATATATATATTATTTTTTGTGCTAGCTCACACT